GATATTTTCAAACAACAAAAAATAAGGAATGCTGTCAAGGGGTTGGAAAAATGATAACTATTATACACTGTTGGTGAGAATGTATATTATTACTACCATTATGGAAAAGAGTATGGTGCTTCCTCAGAAACTGTAAATAGCACTACCATATAACCCAGTAATTCCACACTATTGGAGATATAGTCAAAGGAAAGGAAATCATTGAAGACATACTTGCACTCCCTTGTGTATTACAGCATAACATATGATAGTTAAGATACAGAATCCACCTAAATATACCTCAATAGGCAAATAGATAAAGAAAACGTGAAATATATACACAATGGAATACTATCAACCATAAAAAAAATGAAATCCTTTCATTCAAAGCAACATGGATGAACTTGAAATACATTAAGTGAAATAAACCAGGCACAGAAATACAAATACTATACATTTCCACTCATTTTCAAAAGCTAAAAAAAATTTATCTCACAAAAGTGGAGGATAAAATAGTGGTAATCAGAGGCTGGGACAGATAGGGAAGAGTGGGAGATAGGGAGATATTTACTAACAGATATAAAATTACAATTAGGAGGAATAAATTCTAGGTTTCTATAATGTATCTATGGTGACTATAGTTAACAATGATACATTTTACATTTCAAGATAGTTAGAAGAGAGGATATTGAATGATCCCAGTATTAAGTAACTATAAATATCTGAGGTGATGGGTATACTAATTACACTGATTTAATTATTACACATTGTATTAATCTATCAAAAATCACATTGTATGCTATTATAAATACAATTATTATGTGTCCAAAAAGTGTAAAAGAGAAAACGCCATCATTTTTGTGCCACTTAAAAATATTAAGAAAGAAAAATCAGGTGCTGGCCAGTCATGTATAGACCAATAATTCTAATTTATCATGAAACAAGATATATTATTCATACAACTCTGTATATTTGTGAACAAATTTTTAAAATAAAATACATGAATCAAGATATATTTTCATTTTTTTTTGAAAGAGAAAATTTTGCTACAGGGTGTGTGCACTTGCCAGAGAGACAGAAAGACAATGAAAAATCACTCCCCGGAGGGGATGGCTATGCCACAATCCCTTCTCTTCCACTCTTCTCTCAAGATTGTGGGCATGCACACACATGTGTCCAGCATGATTTTCAAGCTACCAGGTCCAGTACCTGAACCATGGTAAGACATATTAGAGTCAAGCAATGTAACCATTAAGCCACCTGCTGGTCCCTCACTCAAGATACATGTTGATGTTGGAATCATAGTAATAAATGTGATTTATAATAAAAAAAGAATCAAAGTTGTATTTGACATTTCTGGCTTGAAATGTCTGGATGTCAATGTCAATTACTGAGAAAGAGGAAGAATTAATGAGGATCATCTTTGTCCTTGTGGGCATTTTAGCTATGATATTCTTGTGACACATCTAATTGGATTTGTTCAACAATAGGAGCATATATTCACCTGCACCTCAGAGTAGATGCATGAACCAGATATAGACATTTAGAAGTCATTAGAATTTGCTTTAAAGCCCATGGAAATGAACATAGCACCTAATGAAAAAATTGAGTAACAATAGAATGCTCAGTATCTAACTCTGGAGAACTCTCACTTCTATTTGGAAGCCAAATAGAAGAGAATCAGACTGAAATGGAGATTAAAAAGTGCCCAGAGAAGCAGAAACTCTGGCGGATGTGATAACAAGAAAAGAAAAAAAAAATCAAGAAAGTGAAGTAGCTCACTGAATGAAACTTCACTAACAAGTTGCATAGTCCTATGACAAAAGAAACTCACCAACTCTGAAAGTATGGAGGCCAGTGGAGTTTGCCAAGAACAATTTTGGTGGGACGATAAGGGCAGAATTCACACTGTAGTTAAATACAAGTGACAAGTGAAAATAGCATATAAAGATACGTTTTTTCAGTTCACTTGTTCATGATAGTAGCAATAATAATACATTATAAACGTAAAGTGCTTTTTTTTTGAGAGAGAGAGAGGTTTTTGTTACAGTGCGCGTGCACTCGCCAGAAAGACAGAGAGAGACAGAGAGACAGAAAGTGAGAAATCACCCCCTAGTGGGAATGGCCACACTGCAATCCCTTCTCCTCCATTCTCCTCTCACGATCCTGGGCATGCATGCACACGCGCCCGACGTTGAGTTTAAGCCACCAGGTCTGGGACTCAAACCATGGTCGACTACATGAGAGTCCAGTGACATAGCCATTACACTAACTGCTGGTCTCCAAGTGCTTTAAAATTTACATCACTATTTAACTTTTATAACAAAACAACCCTGAAAGACAGGCCTTGTATTCTCTTCTCACAATAAGGATATTTAGTCATTGATTACATACAAGATTAGAAGGCTCGTCAGGAACGAAGTTGTGATCATAACCTAGGTCTTTTGACGGCAGCTCCAATCCTTTTTCCCGTCAAAAGGAACCCAGGTAAAGGAAGTGGCTGGATGATTACAGAATATTTTCTACCATCTCTCTCTCTCTCTCTCTCTCTCTCTCTCACACACACACACACACACACACATTCAAATGACATGATCTACTGAAGGTAAACCAAGTACTCATCTACCTGAAGCACATAATGATAATTTACCCATCTCTGATAATTAGAATATAACATTATGCTCATTTTTGTTTCCACAAAGGGTCGTTTTTTAAATGTATATAAAAATAAGACTTATTACACAACCCACATAGTCACATGGGAGAAGGAACTTTAATATTGTTCATAGAATGAAATCAAATGTCAGATTGATAGTAAATTATGGCTACTAACTAGAATACCAATCCATCTAGACAAATGGAATGTGAAGTGTCTAGGGAGAAAAAAGTGGAATTATTTTTGATGCAGAATAACAAGGCTTATCTATAACAGACACAGGCTCTTAGTTCTTAAATAATATGAATGTGTCTGCAAATATTTTAACCACTAGATGGTGTTGGAATGACATGGGAGGTTCTCTATTGTACAATAGTTCTTCCATTGCAAATATCTAGAAACCCCCAATCAATCCAAAACACCTAGGCTCCACAAAAAAAATCCCTCTTCAAAGAGCAAAGTTTTAAAATGAACAACAGTATTATTTGATCACGGGGGGGGGGGGGACATAAA